AAACATCAATGAGAGAAACATCGATCAGCTGCCTGCTGCACACTCCCTACTGGGTATGTGCCCGCAACCAAGGCACATGCCCCCAACCGGAATCGAACCTGGGACCCTTGAGTCCGCAGGCCGACGCTCCATCCACTGAACCAAACCGGCCAGGGCTAAACTACTTCTTAAAAAACTATTTGTAAAGGTCAGTTTAGGAATTTTCAAGAAAAGGATCAAAACCTAAACATATACAACTGAATTAATTTCAAAAATGAGACCAAAGGTGGAAATTGTCAGATTATCTACTGCCCCAAACATTTATTAAACTATGTTTAACAGTGTTAGTTATTATAAAACACATAGTCCCAGTACTCAAGGGGTTCACTGACCTAATATCAAGACTTTAAGGAAGAACGAATAGTAACTCTTACCCATCAATTATATTTTCAGGGGGGTGTTTTTCATCACTCGATGTAGCTAAAATCACTTCCGTCCCTTCAGAGCTCAAACAGAGATCAACTTTTCTCATCTTAAACTGTTTAACCTGCAAATAAAACAATAACACAGGAATAACAAAAGCTACTTCTTGATTCTCTGCACTTTATCTGAGAAGAGGAAGAGAGAAAGCCTGTTGCCTAGCACACAGCTTAACAACCAAGCAATTCAACAAGTGGGAAGGACGCTAACATGTTTATTTACATAAGTAAACTTCAGACCTCTCCCAGGAATAATCTGTAAAATATGAGTATTTCCACTACACTACCCCAGAAAACAAGTCCCTGACTACACTTACATAATTTTTCTGCTTCTAAAATTAAAAGCCCTCAATAATTATAGGGAAATAGTTAAAAAGCTAAGGTGACATAAGTGAATTGGTTAATTTCTTTAAGATTACTTAAATTATTATAATTCTGAAATTATTTTTAAAAACCTGGAGCATAAAAACAGATTCTTTGTGACTATTTATCAATACATTTATCAACTGAAATAGCAAGCAATATTATTTATATCTTAAACATCATCTTTTTTTTGAGTAGAAATGTAAGAGAGAAGACATCCTTTTACTTATTTTCAAATTCTAAATCACTCACTTGGGTCATGGACTTAAAGACATTTATGTTGTATGCTAACATTTTAAGTTTAATAGAAACATCCTGAAAAGATAGTATTGAGCTCTACTATGAACCCTGGTGGGTAAAACAGATAAGGAAGACAGAGACGATTCTGCTAGATCTCACTCACCCTCCTCCTTGATCTGGTGATGATAGGGCAAAAACTAATATATAGATGCAAAGTGGCTGGGAAAGCTGTATCTACAAAGAATTAAAAGAGTGTTTACAAACCTGAGGAAGACTTCCAATACCCTTTACACACTGATCCCAGTTTTTTTTAAAAAAGGAGACAATTACAAATAAACAAATGACAAAGTACAGAGAATGTTATATATATTAAACAACTATGCATTACTGCCCTGAGGTAATAAATGTTAACATTTTTGCTATATCTACTTAAAAAAATTCTTTTTGAGAAATATGTAGCCCCTCACTGGCCCCATTCCCTTTATGGCCCAGAAGTAACAGCTATTCTAAAACTGATAAATATCCCTCCTAACTATATTTTATACTACTATCATACATATGTCTCCATAAACAATATGCACTATTCTTTGAAAACTTGGATGGTTCCTTTTGCTACCTTTTTTTCAAATCCTCACCTGAGGAGTGAATATGTTTTTCCCATTGATTCCTAGAGAGAGTGGAACGGAGGGGAAAGAGAAAAACATCGATGTGAGAGAGACACATCAATAGCCTGCCTCTCCCAAGCGCGCGGACCAGCATTGGGGATCATGCCTTCAACCGAGGTACTTGCATGCCCTTGACCGGAATCAAACCCACCACCCTTCAGTCTGCGGATTGACACTGTAACCACTGAGAAAATTTGGCCAGGACAGAAAGACTCTCTTTATAGAAATAAAATTGCAGAAACTTAGAATCAGCATGTTTTTAAGTCAATAATTGATCAATTTGATCTCTAAATTATAACAATTTTCATTGCCATTAGCATTGTATGAGAGTTTCTGCTTCCTCAAAGTCTAACCATAATCTATGTGGTATTGTTAGACTTTTGGCTATAGTCAATCTCATTGGTGTGAAATGGTATCTCAATAAGATTTCAATTTGTATTTCCATGATTATTAGTGAAGCTGAATACCATTATCATGTTTATGGGCCATTCAGGCCTCTTCTTCTGTTATTTGATTTTTCTTATCCTTGGCTCATTTTTCTATTGGATTGCTCTAAAAAAAAGTTTTTGTCCATTTCTTTTTTATTTGTAGGTATTTTTAAAATAAAATATTCAGGATAGAAATCCATTATTATATGTTGTAAATATCTTCTACTCTGTGGTTTGATTTTTTTTTTTTGTAACTTTGTTTTTTTTGTGTAGGAGTCTCCCCACCTCTCACACACACTTTCTTTTTTTGCTATTGAACTATAACATACATATAGTTATAGATACAAATCATAAGTATATAGCACAACAAATTTTCACAAGGTAAACACACCCCAGTAACCACTACCCAGGTAACTGCCACCCAGGTAAAGAACTAGAACATTATCAGCATTTAAGAAGCCCTCTTCATACCCTCTTTCAAGCACTCCTCCTCCTTCCTTTTTAAAGGTAAAGCATGGTCCTTATTTCTAACACCATAGATTAATTTTGCCTGAACTTTATATTCATGGAATCATACAGATTGTACTCCTTTGTATCTGGCTTCTTTCACTCATTATTAGGTTTTTGAGATTTATGCATGTGGTTGTGTGTAACTGAGTTGAAGTGTAACTAAGTAAAGTGCATCTTAACCCCCACCCTGTTTAACTCCTAATAAGATTTTTTTTTAAATCAGCCCCTAAATAGAGCTTCAGAGGAAGTTGGTATGAACTGAAAAGCAAAAAATTTCTGTGATTTCAGGTACTTACATCCCAAAACCCTTATGAAGGAGGGACCTAATCTCACTCCCAAATATCTAAAATCAGAGGTAAACTGAAGTATTTAATTTTTTAAAAAATAGATTTTTATTGATTTCAGGGAAGGAGAGGGAGAGAGAGAAACATCAATGATAGCAGAGAATCACTGATTAGCTGCCTCCTGCATGCCGCCTGACTGGGGATCAAGCCCACAACCCTGGCATGTGCCCCTGACCAGAATCGAACCCAGGACCCTTAGTCTGCAGGCTGACACTCTATCTACTGACCCAAACCAGCCATGGCTAAACTGAACTATTTAAATAAAACTACAGCTGAAACCAATCCTAGCACAATTCCTAGGGGGACTGAAGTGATTTGCTCCTTATTCTAGCTCCCAGACAAAGAAAATAGTGTATTCTCTCGGGGAAGGGGGCTAACCTTATATAAAGAGATTAACCAGCCAAACCGGTTTGGCTCAGTGATAAGCGTTGGCCTGCGACCAGGGTCCCAGTTCGATTCTGGTCGGGGGCATGTACCTTGGTTGCGGGCACGCCCCCCCTGGGGGGCATGCAGTAGGCAGCTGATCGATCTCTCTCATCGATGTTTCTGGCTCTCTATCCCTCTCCCTTCTTCTCTGTAAAAAATCAATAAAATATATATATTTTAAAAAAAAAGAGATTAACCAAAGAATTTATATGCATATATGCATAACCCATGGACACAGACAATAGTACAGTGAAGGCCTGGGGAGGGGGCAAAATCAAGGTGGAGTGGCTCAATGGGGGGAAAAGGGGACATCTATAATACTTTCAGCAATAAAATTTTTTAAAAATTATATGCTGTGTCTATTCATTTAAACACAATGTCCAATATACAAAGTCATTTGAAGCAGATCTATAGATGACCCAGGTGCTGGAATCAGCAGACATAGATAAAGATGACTGCTATATATCTGTTAGAGAATTTAGTGAAAATATGGACAAATGGGTGAACAGAAAGGGAATTTTAGCAGAGAAACTGAAACAGGAATTCTAAAACTGAAAAGTACAATACTTGAAGTAAAAATTTTATTAGATGGGCTCAACATCAGATTGGACCCAGCATAAAAATGGGTCAGTGAACTTAAAGATGGGTCAATTGAAATGATCCAAAATGAAACACAGATATACAGTACATGAAAATAACAGAATAGAAAAGTATCAGAAACCTGAGAAACACTATCAAACTATCCTGAAATACATGTAATTGGAGTCCCAGAAGGAGAGGAGATAGAGAACAGTGTAGATCAGGGGTCCTCAAACTACGGCCCGTGGGCCACATGCAAATACAAATATTGTATTTGTTCCCGTTTTGTTTTTTTTACTTCAAAATAAGATATGTGCAGTGTGCATAGGAATTTGTTCATAGTTTTTTTTAAACTACAGTCCGGCCCTCCAACAGTCTGAGGGACAGTGAACTGGCCCCCTGTTTAAAAAGTTTGAGGACCCCTGGTGTAGATGAAGAGATATGGCAGAAATTTTCCCAAAATCTGTGAAAGACATAAGCCCACAGATCAAGAAGTTCATGAACCCTAAATTGGATAAATACAAAGAAGATTCTACCTAGACATGTCTTAGTCAATTGCTGAAGATTAAAGAGGGGGAAAACAGAGAAAGCAAAAAACACATTACATTTAGGTGAACACCAGGAATCAAAACTGACTTCTTATACCCGGCTGGTGTGGTTCAGTGGGTGAGTGTTGACCTGTGAACCAGGAGGTCACGGCTTGATTCCTGGTCAGGACATATACCCAGGTTGCAGGCTTGATCCCCAGTGTGGGGCATACAGGAGGCAGCCAATTAATGCTTTTTCTCATCATTGATGTTTCTATCTCTTTCTACCTCCCCCATTCTCTCTGAAATCAGTAAATATATATAATTTTTAAAAGATAGGGGTTATTTACCCTATAAGCCTGATAAAGTGTGTGTATGTAGATTTTTTTTTGACTATTTCAAGTTCAATAGTTCAAGTTTTCTGCACCTTCTTTTTATTTTTATTTTTATTTTTTTTAAAATATATTTTATTGATTTTTTTACAGAGAGGAAGGGAGAGAGATAGAGAGCTAGAAACATCAATGAGAGAGAAACATCGATCAGCTGCCTCCTGCACATCTCCCACTGGGGATGTGCCCGCAACCCAGGTACATGCCCTTGACTGGAATCGAACCTGGGACCCTTGAGTCCGCAGGCCGACGCTCTATCCACTGAACCAAACCGGTTTCGGCATGCACCTTCTTTTTAAAATTAACTTGAGAAAGGAAGGGAGAAACACTGATGTTATTCCACCCCTTCATGCATTCATTGGTTGAATCTTATATGTACCCTGACAAGGGATTGAACTTGTGTATTTGGATGACGCTCTAACCAACTGAGCTACCTGGCCTGGGCAAGTTTTCTACACCTTCTTGAAACAATTTTGGAATTTATATTTTATAGAAAATTATCCATTTCTTCTTAGTTTTTATATTTATTGGCATAAAATTCATTTTTTTTATTGTGATTTTGAAATCTAGTATGACAATATTAAAACTGTGGTAAGACTGGTCAAGAAGAAGGCATATATTCTAATATTTTTTATTCGTGCATTTTTCTTGCTTTTATTACTACTGGTACCAGAGGACTGGTATTAGATAAATATTAACCCTTAGTTTGAGAAGATTGTGAATTCCTAAAAATAATAGATTGATGAACTTGGATGTTAATTCTCAACAAAATTATTAAATTTCATTATTAAAATTATGGCTTTGAAAAGGTAAATAAGAATGTAGTAAAATAGGAAGCAGAAGTAACTTTAGGTCACAAAAGTTACACCATACCTATACATTTGTTTAATGGAGTCACTACCAATTAGGAATATTTTCTGAACATTTCAACAAAACTTCAGATAAAGCTTCTCAAGATATCCTATGGAACAGATGGAGAAATGTGGGTTGGCTGACAGGTGGTACTTTAGGTAGATATTTATGACTCTGAATGGCTATACTAAAAGAATGATGATTAACAGAACAAAATAATACTTCTGTGGAAGACCTCTATCCTTGTCCCCATTCAACATTTTTATTAATTAAGGATGAAAAAAGTATGCTTAGCAATTTGCAGATGACACAAATTGGCTAATATGCCAGATGACAGAATCAGCACACAAAAACATCTGAGCAAGCTAGAAAGATGGGTTGCAATCAATAAGATTATAAGGATAAAAAGTAAAAGCCTATCTACTCAGACTTAAAAAATCAATCACACAAGGATTAGTCTAGATTGGGGTTGGCAAATGACTGCTTGTGAGCCCAATTCTAGTCTGCCACCTGTTTTTGTATGGCCTAAGAATGCTTTTCTATAATATACTAGAGGCCCAGTGCACAAAATTTGTACACAGGTAGGGTTCCTAGCAGCTACTGGCTGGGGCACCTCCCTTCCCTGGCCGCCTGCTATTGCCGGCCTGGAAGGCCTCCCTTCCCGGCCCTGCCCCCTGGTCAAACTCCTGGTTGAGGGGACAATTTGCATATTAGGCTTTTTTTTTTTTATATATATAGGATAGGTTTGGTTCATTACAAAGTCACTCTAAGGCAAGAGTGTACTATATCTGCTCCCAAAGGTAAAAGAGTTGCACTCCATCAAATTTTCAGGCACTGTGCTAGTAATGCAAAGATGACTATACCTAAGACAAAGATAGTGACTAAAACTTGGTTCTTGCCTTCAAGCTCAGAGTCA